GGAGAATCAATAGATTCCATTTGTCCATCATTTAAGAGCCTGTGTGGCTGTTAACTCCGCTGATACTCCCTAGAGCTCTGGTCACTTGACCTGGCCTTAATGTCCCACCGAGGAGCTGGCTTGTTCATTTCCAACTTCCTACCTCTGGGCCTCCTGAACTCTGATTCCCCACCTGGAGCAGGTATCCACAAGCAGACATGTCTGGTACCGTGACACACATGCTCTCAGCCTCACCCCTAATTTCAGCCATGTCTGGGTGGACCATTGTGTGGTCCAAGAGGCTTCAGCTCACTTCAAGATGATCATATCTTACATATACCTCACAGCCTCAGTTCTTCCCAAGGGCGTCCCCAAAACCACAGAGGCTACTGAGAGATGCCTAGGCCTGTCCACATGTACAGTTCACAAGTGCAGGAGAATGAACATTCTCAGAGCCAACGCCCGGCCAACAGGAGAGACAAGCTGATGGCAAACGCTGTCCTGGCCTCCTGGCCTCACTGCTGACAATTCTGAAGCCTCCTCAGAAGTCAGCTGGGTTGAACTGCCATGGCTCACAGCAGTGACCTCAACCATACATCTGTCTTAGTCAGCTCAGGCTGCCATAACAAAATATGACAGACTGGGTGGCTCAAAAAGCAGAAATTTATTTTCCCACAGTTCTGGAGACTAGGAGTCCAAGGGCAGGACCAGAGCCTGGTGAGGGCTCTCGGTTGTCTTGCAGACAGCTGCTTTCTCACTCTGGCCTCACATGGCCTTGCCTCAGTGCATGCGCATGGGGAAAGAGAAACAGGACAAGCTCTCTGGTGTTTCTTCTCATGCAGACATTAATTCCGCTGGGCAGGGGCCCACCCTCAGAACCTCATTTCACTTTAATTACTTCCTTAGAGGCTCCACATTGAGGGATCAGGACTTCAACGTATGAGCTTGGTGGGGACACATTCAGTCTATAACAGCATCCTTACTCCTTCCCTGCCACAGTCTCCCCATTCCCTCACTCTGACTTCCTAGAATCACCTCCCAAATAAATCACCGGCACATAAAGCTTCTCCTCGGGCTCTGCTTTGAAGATCCCAGCTAAAATAGCGTGTCTCCTGACATTGCACTCTAATGCCACCCAGCCAGATGTCCTCTGCCAATCTAATACTAATCCCCTCCCCAGGCTCATCTTCTGTTCTCAACCCCCTCCCAATTTAACCCACCCATCACCTAGACTTTAAGTTCACCATCAAGTTATTCAACGCATACATTTACTGGGTTCCTATTACAAGCCAGGATCCTAGTGCGAATGCTCACAGGTCTCAGCCAGTTAACGTGTCGGGGGTTAATGTGCCAAGTGGACCAAGGTCCCTTGTGTCGTGTGCCCAGTGGCACCAAGTTCCATAATTTTCATTTAAAAATGGGAATTTTTTATTTACATTGAAATAAGGATCCATTTTTATTTTGTCTCATTTTAGCTTCACTTTGTTTTATAATGATGTAAAACATGCACATGGTTTCAAAGTCAAATATACCAAAAAGGTACATTCAGAAAAGACTAATTTGCATCCTTTCCACCTGCTTTCCCCTTGCCCTTCATGGGTAATTATTTATTAGTTTTTTTGTTTATTCTTCCACTTAAAAATATATAAGCAAAGTATCCCAATTTTTAAATGTTAGTAACTAATTAAATCTATTCATCATACAACACAGATCATGCCATCATCTTAGAGCTTCTAGTTTGACACATCTGTACAAATTTCTGGGGAGGCAGCAGGAAACAAACACAGCCCCTAGGTTCTCAGAGCTCTCAGCCAGAGTGAGAGGCACTTACCACACAGCATGACAAGTGCACCAATAGGGTGGGGGGAAGAGCAGCGGCCCCAAAGATGGCTACATCCTCATCCCTGGAATTTATGAATGCTCAAGGGAGAAGTGAAGGTTGCAGCTGGGATTAAGGTTACTAATCCGATTACCATCGATCATACGCATGGGCCCAAAGTAATCATGGGGTCCTTAGATGTGGAAGAAGGAAGCAGAGGAGTTCAGAGTCAGAGAGACATTTGAAGATGCTGGCTTTGAAGATGGAGGAAGGGGCCACAAGCCAAGGAATGCAGGTCACCTCTAGAAGCTGGAAAAGATAGGAAAAGAGGTTTTCCCCTAGAGCTTCCAGAAGGAACACAGCCCTACTGACACTGTGATTTTTAGCCCACTGAGACCCACTAAGTTTAAAGCCACTAAGTTTATGGCAATTCGCTACAGCATCAGTGGGAAATTAACACATGGGATAAACCCGGGATGCCAGTCTTGGGAGAACACAGGGTATCAGGAAAGGCTTCCCACAGAAGATGACATTTGGCCAAGTCCTAAAGGATGAACCAGGTTTGTAGGGTAGGAGCTCCAAAAGGAAGTATCAGATCAAAAGGTCTTGTGGTATTCAGGGAATTTTAAGGCATTTAAAAATGGCAAAATCTTAATTCCTTCAGCAATTCTTTTTTAGATGGAGTCTTGCTCTGTCACCCAGGCTGGAGTGCAGTGGTACAATCTTAGCTCATTGCAACCTCTGCCTCCAGGGTTCAAGCAATTCTCCTCCTGCCTCAGCCTCCTGAGTAACTGGGATTATAGGTACCTGCCACCAGGCATGACTAATTCTTGTATTTTTAGTAGAGAAGGGTTTCACCATGTTGGACAGGCTGGTCTCAAACTTCTGACCTCAAGTGATTCAACCACCTCAGCCTCCCAAAGTGCTGGGATTATAGGAGTAAGCCACAGTGCCCAGCCCCAATTTCTCAAATGATTCTCTTAGGAATGCTATTAGCTAATTCGCTTCATTTTACAGAGCCTGAATAAGAGACTTGGAGAAGTTGAGAAACCTCAAAAAGTTACACAGTTCTGGGTTTCTCTGTCTTCATTTGTGAAATAAGGAAGTTAGATTAGGTGAACCATAAGCCTATCCATGACTACTTACCAGATAAACTCAGATATGTAAGAAATATAACAGTTCTCATTTTTGCCATATAAACCTGGCTCTCATCCCCCATACCACTGGACTAGAAGAAAATTTGATCTTGGGTATTACTGATGCATATACACGCCGTGTACCCTGGCCAAGGTTATGCCAAGGTCCTGGGGTCTCTAAAGCATCTATGCATCAAGGAAGCCCCTGGGGGCTTATCCTCTGGTTCTCAGTGATTACAGTTAAGATGTCCATTTTCCTAGCCGGCATTAGGTCCAGTGGTTCTGATGCCTCTAGGGTCTCATGCTCTGTTGCAAGGCTGGGAGTCCATATTCCTAGATGCATCCTAAATAGAATGAACATGGTGCCATCTCCTCCATGGTACCACCATATCCCTAGCACATTGTTTCCATGGTAACTGTTTTCCAGGTTCCTAGAATCTCCCTCCCATTACTCCCCTCTGCATCTCAAAGGCTCTTATTTCCATCCATCAGAAACACTTGGGGACATCTCTGCAGAACTTCACCTTTTACAGAAGAAAGGAAGAGCTGCCATCTTCCAGCAATTTTTTCTGCCTCCCTAATCAGATCAGAGAGGACAATAGGGAATAAAAGAAGACTACATCATTAATATCTCAATGAACTATGCTGGCACACCTATGTTGCAGAAACAGGGATGATAATTTTTGTTTTCTCTCAATAGGGAAAAACACTACTTCAGCATTTGTGGCCATAAAATTAACTTATTAAAAGATATTATCCCCAAAATAATAATAGTCTCTCAGTATCATATAATCCAAACACAAGGTCATGTCTGCTTGGTGGTTGGTGAGCCACAGAAATACCCTAATCTTGCTAGATTGTGTGAGAAGGATGTAAAAATGGCACCATGATATTCTGGGGATTCTCTGATAGCAAAGGGAAGGAAAATAATTGAGATCAGAATGGGGGAACTCAGAGTCAGTCAGCAGCATTCCATATCAATAATAATAATAGCAACCATTTTGCTCTTGCCAAGGAGATCTATTCCAGCCTAGAAAGAAAGTGCTCTCCCCACTCCCCATTCAGAATAAGCTCAACATTATTCACAAAGCAGCTCACCTCTAGTAGAATGCTTACCTGCCACCACCCCATAAAGAAATTGGGCCCTTGCCCATTGATGGCCAGTGTGTCATCTGAATTTTTACCCTCTGCCAGACAGGGCAAGGAGAGAACATGTCATCTGACATGTAGATACCTCTGCATGATCACCATATCTCATAAGAATTGATTAAGCCTCTTCCTCCTGTTCCTCCCAGCCCTGCTGCCATCCCTCCTTGTTTCAGGATTTCTGAGCTTTTCCCTGATATTTGGCATATCTGTCCAAGTACCCAACTCTAACTGTACACACCTCCTGCATGAATGATCATTATTCACTGGCAACAAAGGCCATCAAACTTTCTGCCATCACCTTGCCAGGAGTAGCCTCCACTCTTTGAACTTCATATTGGAGCATTCCCATTGTTAATGCTGACGGTAAGCCTCATGAATTATTCAACAGCTTCTTTATCTAGGCTGGCAAAGAACAGTGTGTTCTGATCAGAGGTTGTAGTGTCCTGATCAAACAGGACTCATCCACCCATTGCCTTCCAAATTTTCTCTATGGGTACCAGCAGTCGCCTCCAGATATAAGCCCAAATCCCTGGTCACAGCTGCTGGTTCAGGAACCAGCAATTTCTCCCAAGGGGAGCAGCTAGGTTCTGACTTATGCTCTATCTCATTAGATGGCGGAGGAGGGTAAGGGTCACCATCACCCCTCTTTGCTCTAAGAGCAAATCCTCTCACTCACCCAAAAGGTCCAGAATTGCAGTGCTTAGCATTTCCTGGGGTGGGAAGACTGAGAAAGTTGAAGCAAGCTCCCCAAACACAACACAATCTGATTGAAACCCACGATCTGTGTCAGAGTGGCAATTTAATGACCTACAACTCTCTGGTGGAGATCATGTTCCTGGGTTGTGGGTTTTCATTCACTGTGAGAGGGTCTCTTCCACTTGGACATTTAAACTGGTCAAAGATTAATGAGGTTCCCGGCCAGGCACAGTGGCTCACACCCGTAATCCCAGCATTTTGGGAGGTCAAGGTGGGCAGATCACCTGAGGTCAGGAATGCGAGACCACCCTGGCCAACATGGCAAAACCCCATTTTTATTAAAAAATTAGACAGGTGTGATGGTGTGCACCTGTAATCCCAGCTACTCAGGAGGCTGAGGCAGGAGAATTGCTTGAACCTAGTAGATAGGAGGCTGAGGCAGGAGAATTGCTTGAACCTAGTAGATGGAGGTTGCAATGAGCCAAGATGATTGCACCACTGCACTCCAGCCTTGGTGACAGAGAGAGACTCCATCTCGAAAAAAAAAATGCTTAATGAGGTTCCTTCAGGATGGAACTAGCAGCCCCTAGGGAATCTTTTAAGCTGAACTCCCCCTTCATTCTGTATATTACACACATCATCCATTCAGTCTCATTAACAACATGTGAGGTTCACAGGGCAAGACAGAAATGAACCACATTTCACAGATGAGGAAACTGTCATAAGCCCAGGAGTGCATAACAAGTCCATAACAGCCATGTCCTGACTCCTGTCCCAATGCTCTTCCCAGAATTCCAGTCCCAGCTGGGTGCAGTGGCTCATGCCTGTAATCCCAGCACTTTGGGAGGCCGAGGCAAGAGGATCACTTGAGCCCAAGAGTTTGAGACCAGCCTGGTTCAACATAATGAGACCCCGTCTCTTTTCAATAAATAAATAACAAAACTTCAGTCCCCCTTCCTTCCTTCCTTGGTTCTCCTTCTCCAGCACAGATTCCACACAAATCCTTCTCCAAAGTACAGAAAACATCAGGCCTTTTTGCTTGATTTTCCTTTGTTTTTTGTTTTTCCAGATTTCTGTACAATTTACATTCTCTACATGCCTGAATTTCTTGGAAAGGGCAAATCTGCACATAACTCACAGAAATAAAGGTGATATAAAACGCATATAAGAACCTAACGATGGGACCTGTATGCAAGATACACCTTGCCAGCCAGCTACCTCTGCTGGACTGAAATTATATCTCTCAGCTTTAAAGTCAGCAGATGATAGGGAAGAATGTACTAGAAACTATTGTTTATTTTTCATCTAGTCTATTGGAGCTGTTTTCAACTCATTTAAAAAACTTTTTAATTTGAAAAAGTCTTAATCATGAGCTTTAAACTGATCAACAACAAAACTCACAATTAGGTTCTTTAGATAAATCAGGAAGTGCCTGTAAGAACCCATCTACTTAGACCATTCTGGGACTTTCAACAAAAGAAATAGTTACCACTTGGAATTTCCTCATCTCCTTTCACATCCACTGACAGTCTTGCTTCCTGCAGCACCTGGGTTCATCAATACCCCATAACATGAGCACCATGAGCATCCAGTCCAAGGGGAAAACAAAAAGGAACAAAATAAGAGAAGACAAGCATTGCTATCGGGACTCTGGAATTCAATCTGGCCCTTAGTGTCCTTCTCTATAATTACCGAGGTATCCCCAAGGGAAGCAGAACACCTGTCTAGGAAATTACCGTGATCAGTAGAGGTGGGTTTGGTTTTCCTGCATTTTACTTCTTTAAGAATTTGCACTTTGGTTTAGGGAAAATCCCTCAAAAAGACATGATGCTCTTCTTTTGATAATAAAGACTGCCTACCAGGGTGGGAAAACTGTTTGGTTTCAAATTCCTATTGCAAACAGAAAGGCTAGGAAGCTGAGTTTCACAATCTTCCTGAGCCCAAAGTCCTGAGTTTCAGTTGCACCTTTTATACTACACATTTCTGAGAAAGGAATCTCAATATGTTCATCAGGAAAAATAGCAAGTTTAAACGCTGTGTGCTGAGTGTTTGCCTAACAAATGCTTCATTCCACTGAGTCACTCTCCCAGAGCCACCTTCCTAGGTACCCTAGAAAAGACGTGAAGGAACTGTGTGCCAATTGGTGCAGCCAAATAATGAGAGCTTGAAACAGTGCCCGGAGGTGAATCATTTCAAAACAGACCTCTGCCATTTTGAACTTCAACTGTGATTCCCTGTGAGCAGTTTAGAATGCGGAAACCCCAACATCTCTCTACCTTCGCAGGTGCACCTGTGTACAGGTCATGTGTGGGAGGTTAACTACAAAATGTCCAGTTGCTCAGTAAGACAGAGACGGTGAATGTCTGGGAGAATGTTTAAAATAGTAGAATCTGGACCACCCCAAAAGATGCTGGTTCTGCCTAAATAAACAAGAGACTCTAGAAATATCACATTGCACATTGACAGGCAAGGCTCCACCTATCTTTTCCCTCACTGCAAATAAGTAACAGATACCCAGACCTAGGTCTGACAGAGGAACTGTTAGCCTTGCATCTTAATATTGAGCAGACTCTTAAACAATCAAAAGAATTTCAAATTTGTTAATCCTTTGGGAAAGCACCAAACTATTTGCCATGCAGATGACAGAAAATAAAGCATTCATGGCAAAAAGTATTTCTCGTACAAATTATGGAGAAAATTCGAGGTGTGACCCAAACCAAAATATGTTGCCTGGCCACTTTTAAATAATTACATCTTGACCTTAGCAGGAAGCCCAGGGGCGGAGAGCGTGTTGCCTGTGCATTGGTCAGGAAAGGAACCACCTTCAGAACCATTATTACCAAAGGAATTTAGAGGAATGTTCCTCTAAGGGGAAAGATAATAAAACAGAGAGCTCTGGTTTGGTTTCTTAAAAAGCCATTAAGTGGAACTAAAAGGCTCCTCTAAGATACGGGTCAGAAGCTCTACAAAAGAGACCCTCCTGAGGTTCACATCTCCTTCTAATTTGTTTCAGTGAAAAGAATGCAAAACATTGCATGGTAGCTCACGACATGCATTATGTTAAATAAAAGTGTACCTGAGTTGATTACATTTTAGCTGACTGACACATACCTTTGAAAGCTGCACAAGCAGGCCTCTTTGTCCTTGCCAAGACAGAAGGGATTTGAGGTGCCGTGATCCTCTAGTGCCTTAGAATACCGCCATCTCGTCTTCTGTCCATGGGAGCCCTAGGGCTCCAATCCAAGCTTGCCGCAGTTTGAATACTGCATTGTTTACCCATAGAGATCTTGCTGCCACCAAATTCCTATTTCCTAATTTCTGTCACAGTAAATAGTTTGATGGTTTTTTAAAGGAGTCACAAACATGAGATACTTTTAATTGTCCAAGAACCTGCTGGATATTAAGATGCAAGCTTTTCTGTTTCTCTATCGACATTAGACAAGGATGGATCCTACTTAGGCCTCATTCCCAGCAACTCTTAGGATAATTCTTTAAAAAAAATCAGCGGGAATAAAGACATCACCCAAAAAATGAGTCCACTGTCAGTAACGTATCTTGTTAGACAACAGGCTACAATGGCATTGCATAGAGCTAAGTCCAATTGATTAAATATGGATATATAAGTTGATTGAATCGATTCTATAAGAAATTACATTACAGGTTTTCTATTCATTTGAAATCATTTCTATAAAAAATTGAAAGATAGATCCAAGGTCAGAAACCAGTCCTTTCTTACAAACTTGATCTGTATAAAAGAATAGATTTGACTTAAGTCATTCTATTTATATGTCTTTTCTAGGAATATCACCCACCAAAACCATAACAACCACTGGAAGCTGTATTTTCTAATTATGTTAACTGAGTCCCTGCTATATGGAGAGAAATAATGAAGCCAGGAATTTCAGGTGGGCAGATTTCAGAACCAAATGGCTCTGGAAGCATATGACCACAAAGAACAGTACAGTGAGGTCAATCAAGTCAGACAAAACTGCAAATTCCTAAAAGGTTCATTTTTTCTCTTTATTAACCATGAGGAATTAATTAGGCTTATGGCCCAGACAAGTCAAGTCCTGCTGGATTTTGTTCTCAGCTCTGTCACCAGCTATGAAAATTGCTGCTGTCCCAGATTCCTCAGAAAATTTGAGGCTTGGTAAGTTGCTCCCATCCTTCCCAATAGCAGGATTAGTAAACGTGTCTGTGGAAACTTTATGGCAATTAACAGGAAGGAAAAATACAGCATTTTATCACCATAAGCCTTTGCCCAGCTATGGGAGAAGGCGAGGACTAGACAGCCCTGGCAACATGGAATCTGGGAGGAGAGTGGAGAGGAGCAGGGAGGCTCCTCTTTGGGGCCAAGCCCATGACAGCAGCCAACTAGCCATATCATAGCTGTGGCTTTGACTTCCAGCTCCACCTTGAAACCCTGACAGCATGATGACTAAATGAGTGTATCCAAACATTCCAGTCAGATAAAAGGGATCAATACTGGAATGCTCAGAGCTGGGAGGCAGCTACCATGAAAGCTAATCCAGATATGCTGCCCCAATATGTTCTACAACTGCCTGACTACACAGCAAAGCATTCAAAGGAGGTTAAACTAAAATACAGCAAGATATGGATGAGAGCAGGGATGAAGACTTACACTGGCTGGAGACAATCCATCACCAAGCAAATAAAGCCACCTAAAGCAATGACAGAGGTAAACAAAAATTAAATCTCATCACCATGATGGTAAGTAGCAGTTCACTGCTGAGGGTTCACTACTATTCAGGTCATGCTAACAGAGCTCAACTGTGCCAGAATCAATCCAGTAGGGATTCACTCAAAACCCGACAAAGCCACTTCTAAGAAAGCCAGATGCTTCGTAGACAGTCGTTAGATGGTATACCTACAGGTCAAGGGCCATGGAGAATTTGAATTGTCAAAAACGTCAAAGTCAAATGACAGAGTACAAGGGCAGCAGGGAAATGCCTGGTTAGAAAAAGGAGTCCTTTCTTATTCATGAGGCTATCACTCACTTGTGGAGAAACTTAAAACCAAATAATTGCACCTTTTAAAAGTCATTGATAAGAATACACGAACCACCTCATGGAAAACATGGAATTAAATAAGAGCAACAACATCCTTTTTTATTTGAGAGAGAGAAAAAAAAAACATTAAACTGGAGGGGAGGGAACTGCCTGAATTCAAAGCTGAGATGGGAATTAGAAACCGGCTATTGTCAGGTAAAGGCTCCATGGTCATAAATAATTAAAACTCATGCAGCCAGTGGCTCCTCACCAATGGGAGGTCTCAGAAAACTAAGATGGGCGGTGGGGAGAACACCTGCAGGAGCAGCTGCTGGTCTACTAGTTCTCAAACTCTGTTGCACGTTTGAATCCCCTGGAGTTTTATAAAAGTAGAGGTTCCCAGGCTAGGGAACTCCGCGGATAAGACCCAGCCATTTGTACTTTTTAAAGTACACTGATCCAGGGTGTTGAAACCATTAAATCTGGCTGAGAGGAGCTATGCACTCATAACCATTTCCAGTTTTCCAGGAGAAACTGATGCAGCAAATTTAAAAGATGTTTTTTTAAATAAGGAGAGGTTCTATCGCTCAAGGAACACCTAAGCAGCACAGCCCCAGACTCCAGCTGCTCCACAGCTCCATCTGTAGCTCCCTCTCCACTGGAGCACATCTAGAAAAGCCCAGAGTAGGTTCTTGATCTCACCTCACTGCACTTACTGAACTGAACCCAAAATTCCCGTTAGAGATGGAGCGATGGGCTCACACACTGAACCTAGTGTTGATGTGGGCTCCAGTCCTTACCCTGCCATTTCCTATATAAGCTTAGACAAGTTCCCTAACTCATCTGAGCCTCAGTTGCCTCGGATCTCTCTCGGAAAGTTGTTTTGAGATTTAAGAGAGAATACATGTAAATCATCTTGCATAGCGGCACACAGGGCAGAGGACTAGTAAACGTTTATTTGTTCATTTGTTTAAGGGACTATGCTGCTGCCAGAGACTAGATTTGAATTGTCAGCCTCAAAAATCCCCTTGCCTTGTGATAGCTCTTCAAATCCTCTGCACAGCAATGTGTGTCTAACCCTGAGGCTGACTTTTGATGTCCCAGAATGGTCCCAATCAGAAGGTCTGGATTCATGAATAGTATACACGAGCTAATCTGGTAGGATGTGGTATGATGATGTTGATATCAAAGATCTTTCATGGTGCCTTGCACATTGCAGATGAATAATAAATTAATATTTGCAGGCTAGATTATTCAAAGACGACTTGGAGATAACCTGTGAATTTCATTTTAGGGTGATTCTCTTTTGCCTTCACATGCAATAAAAGTGACTGAAAAATGTGATCTTATACAAGTTGGAGCATTTTACTCCATCTGTTTAATTTCTATATCTTTAAAATTAATTAATGGTTACTAACAGAACATAGAAGCAAACAGCAGAATGCAATTTAATAGTCCTGCCTCAGTGCTAGAGGAAAACTGCTCACAGCTAACTCTAACTCATAAAGCTCCAATTTTAGGGGGGAGAAAGTGGCATCCCTCTGCTTCTAGACAGGTGAGAGGAAATTGAGGATAAAAGATGGATAACACGCACTCCCTCAAGATGATACGCTCAGAACAAATTTGACAGCACAGAGAACAGCTCTGGCCTTCCGCTCTGCTGGCCAAACTGGCACAAGTACTGAAAAGATGAAGCAGGAAAAAGAAACTGAAACATTCTAGGCAACTCATAAATTCCTAGGTCTATAAGGGAGTCTAACAACCCATTAGGCAACTGGAAAAACAGGCAACTATCTGCACAGCTCTGCTTCATTTTCTCATGTCAATATCCAGCCTTACACAAAGATGCTCGGCAGAGACTGAGTCCCTCTTTCGCCATTTTGAACTATCATTCACTGAGAAGGGCATGAGGACACAGTTGCAGGTCAGCGAGGGTGGGTAGGATACCAGCTTGGGAAACTGAGTACAGGGAGGCAAGCCTGGCTGAGCAGGTCCAGGAAAGCCCACAGTGCTCAGCACAAAGGAAGAGAGAGCATCAGGAAGTACAGGGACTCACCCTCTCCCTGGAAAAGGGCTGAAAACCAATCACTGCGAATTTACCTTGTTCAAAGCTTCTTTTGTGACCACAATAGGCTAGATGATCTCTGAGAAGACCTGGGAGGTGTATTTTACTAACAGAAACACTTTGATTTGTTTAAGTGGTAAAGCATGAAACCTCTGTGATGAAACAGCTGCTGTTCTATTGACTGAACCCAAAATTCTCACCAGGAGGTAGCAATGGCATTCCACACTGGACTTGGAGTTGATCTGGACCCCGCCTGTCATTTCCTAACCGTGTATTTGGACAAGTGTCCTAACTCATCTAAGCCTTGTTTCCTTAAATCTACCTAAGTGGCTTGTTGAGGCTTGAATGTGAGAATACATGTGAATCACTTTGTATAGTGACAGCACAGACAAGGGCCTCATGAACATTCATTTGCTCATTCATTTAAGGGTCTGGGGGTACTACCAGAGATGCTATCAGATGGGAAAAACTTCACTTCCCAGCCCTACTTTCCCCAGAACTCACCACCCAGATGTTAGTAAGTGTAGTGTAAAAATAGCGTTCCATGGTCAAGTATGTATAGAAAAAGCTGGAGTCAACAACACTGAACTAGTTTGTTCACTTGCCCAACTTGCAGAGCCATTAATAAGCTAATGTGTGCTATGAGCTTCAGAGAAGACTTACGGTGAGGGAAATAAAACCTGCAGCATTTCTCAAGCATAATTCTCAGGAAACACTCATCAGGAATAAAGGTTAGTAATACATGGGAGTAAGTGGCTCACCCAGTCACTCTGTGGGATCTGACATTTCCTGATGGCATTTACCTAGGTGACAGAGGAGACATTCTGGATCCAGAAACAATGATAATGCTAACAGGAAAGTAGAACACCACCCAAAGGAACGCCGCAGCAGCACAGCCCAGCTCCTCACCAGGGGCCAGCACAATATCCACTCAGTGCCTTTTACTTCATGAGAATGTACCTCTAACTTTAGAAAGCATATTGTCAACAGAAAAGTCAAATTTTCTTACTGAAAAAATCACCTTTTGTGTGAATGAATCAATTTTTCAAAGTGTGAAAACCTGTGCCATGACAGATGACTCTAACACAGGTGAGAAGAAAGGATTGGGGGTTATTTCTAAATGTTTCATATAAAATATGTTTGTTGATAGTTTTATGCTGGACTACCTCAAACGCACATAATTTGCATTTACGTAAAATGCCAATAGGCCTTCCTCAAAGCCAGTCAAGTCATGAGTGCTCTTTCAAAACTAGTCTCTCATCTGCCTCTTCATTTCCCTTCTACAGTCACCAACCCTTGCCACACTTACTAGAATTGTCACAAAACCTCCCAGGCTCCATGCTTACAATATTTCCCCTTCCAACTCTTTCTGTATCCTGCCAGTTTAACCTCCTAAATTAATCATTATTATATTCCTCATTCAAAGACTTAGATGTTCCCCCTTTGTATATGGAATAGCCAAACACAACCTGGCAACTGGCATTTGAGGCTCTCTCTCCACCACAGGAGTCCAGCCCCTAGACTCTTATACTGACATTCTCAAGCCCCTGGCCCACCTTGCCCCTTCCCAATCCCCCACCCCTGTGCACTCCAGTCTCCCTGCCAAGGATGTCCACCTGTTCTTGCCAACTCTAAATCCAAAAGAACTCCCAATACTCAGGTCCACAGAATCATTCCACATGACTCTGGTTCAGTCCTCCCTTCATCTACCTTCTATAGCAGTTTCTGTGCATTCCATTTAGCCCTTTGTCTTTTATTAACTTCTGTTGCTATTTATTGTTTCTACTGATATTTCAATGTTCATGTTTATTTGACTTTCCCCACAAGTAAACTGTAAGTTTCTTGGAAACAGAAAGCACATCATACACTTTCTTTCTATCTTAGAAACAGAAAATGCATCTTACACTTTATTCTACAGGAAGCACATCATACACTTTTGCCAACAAGAATAACATGGAGAGGAGGAAGAGGGCAAATGGATGGGCTAGTTAGTGAACTTGAGTAGGGAAATTCAGCCCCCTTGAAGGAAAGCACTCATGCCAACGTCCAAAGAGCTGGGGCCCTCCCTCATAATTACCACAAGGAATGCAGCTTGGCCTCCTTCCAGTTCCAGGCTCATTGCTGGCAGAGAAGGAAGCAGAAAAATAAATAAATTGGGGCAGATGTAACTATACCAGATAAGGCAGTAAGATGATGAAATCTTATAGCCATAAACTGCTCAGGTTAACAACTTCTGACTTTAAATTTTCTTTCCTTTCCCTGAGGTTATGACTGAGGAGAACTTAGGTTTTACATTCCATACTTTTCTGGGAAAAGGGGATACAAAACAAGGGGCTGTGTACAATGTGTGTGCTTATATACATACACGTTATCTATGCATATATGTCAAAAATAACATGAAAAACACTTCAAAAAATCACTACCACATCTTTCAAATTTGCAACCCCTCAAAAGTACAGAGTACAGCAAAAATATCAGCATGATAAAGCCACTAGAAATCATCATGGCCCTCGCTTTTTTTGCAGAAGAATTACTGTTCTTCCTTACTATCTGGAAGATCAAAATAGGGATCTGAGCCTCCTGAGTTATTGTCTCTATCATTTATTTAAATCTGTTCCCTACTAAATGAAGCAACCATTCTATATCTGATACCATAAATAATATTCAATTCACTAATTTTCAAGTTTTGTCCTCAGAATGCAAAGCGAAAGTTGTGAAAAAATCAAAGGTTCCTGTGGGATGAGCAGGTAGCAGACTAGACTGCAAGTCAAACAATAATCTCTCACCTGCACACCTAACCAACACCTGTTTTGGGGGCACTCTGATGAATCAGAAGCAAGTCTCATTACTTAAATTTTAAAGCCTAAAAAGCAAAGAATACATGTTCTCATTCCAGCAATAATAGACAAGCATATTTTAAAAAACTGGATAAAATTTAAAAATAAACATCTCTTTGAATGCATCTAGCAGTTACCAAGACAACCAGAACCTGAAAGTCCAAACTCCCAGAGTAAGGACACACAGAAGCCACTCAACACACTCTCCCCACCACCACGACTGAGGCATTTACTGGTGTGTAAATTTCACAGGCAGAAAGAAGGGAAGCAAAACAGAAAACAGCTGCTAGAGGGATGATAAACCAAGCAGAGCTGTCCCCACTGATGAAGATATAGTAATTGGAGTTCAGGGCCTACCAAAATGGAGGGACCTGGGTATCTAATCTGGGCTTTCATTTGGGACCTCTAAAGGGCTACACCTAGGTAAGGAAGATTGAACTGAGATTATAAAAATTTTAACTGCCTACCAGAAGCTCAAGAAGAACACTCCTCAGTGGAAGAATATACCATCAAGAGCCTCCATCATTTTTTATTTACAGTACCCAACATTCAATTAAAAATTACCAGGCATACCAAGACACAGAACCAATAGGAAAAAAGCAGACAATAGAAACAGACTCACAAGTAATCCAGATATTGCATTATCAGGCATAGACTTTAAAATAATTGATTAACATGTTTAAGAAATAGGTGACAAGATAATTTCACCAAAGAGCCAAAATATATATATTCATATATATGAATCAGATGAAAATTCTAGAACTGAAAAATACAATGTAACAGAAGAAATTAAGAAAGTTATAGATGGGTTACAGCAAAAAGACCCAGCTGAAGAGAGACTTGGTGATCTAGAAGATGATAGTTCAATAGAAAATGCCCAGGGTAGAACATGAAAAGGGAAAAAACAGGAAAATACAAAGAAAATCAAAACAAAATATTTGAATCTATGAAAGGGAACTCATATGTATTGGGTACATGATGCAGGCTAGACACAGCTGTTTTAAAGTAACTAAGTTTCATTTAATCAGATAGAATTTATTAATATATTTTCCAAAATTGAGGAAAAAACATTCATAGCTAATATTTGAGAGAGCTTATATTTTTCAAACATATTTATAATAATTAGAGTTTAGAGATCACTTTACCATGTACAAGGTATGAAGCCTAGCAAAAGAACATGATGTTCTCTGAAACTGGAAAAAAAAAAAAAAACCACTAAGTTTATATGCGGCTATCACACACTCTCTGGACACTCTACAAGCCTCACTTAATGAAGTTCTAGAAAGCTATTGGGAGGAATAAATGAGCTAAGGAACATAAAATTTCTAGCAAGAACATACAGACAAAATGAGTGACAGGTCGTTTTCCTCCTCCCCCCAGGCCTCACTTATGTAAACAACATACACTGAGGGTCTACAGTAGGCTGTTTACTCAACTTAGGTCACCTGTGAATCAAGCCAATGCAATACACCCCTATTTCAGATCCCATATGAAAAATAAGTGCTGTATCCTTGGGCCGACAATAGTAAAGTAGTTAAAAGAATATGTTGGCTGGGCACCGTGGCTCACTTCTGTAATCCCAGCACTTTGGGAGGCCAAGGGGGGTGCGTCACCTGAGGTCAGGAGTTCAAGACCAGACTGGCCAACATGGCAAAACCCTGTTTCTACTAAAAATACAAAAATTAGCTGAGCATGGTGGCACACACCTATAATCCCAGCTAATCAGGAGGCTGAGGAAGGAGAATCACTTGAACCCGGGAGGTTGCAGTGAGCAGAGATCAAACCATTGCACTCCAGCCTGGGCAACAGAGTGAGACTCCTACTCAAAAAAAAAAAAAGAAAGAAAGAAAAGAAAATGTTGAATTTTGCCTCATTGGCTTAAAGAACGGTGATGACATTGTCAGAAATATTGAAGAAGTGCTGGTTTAGTGAAGAACGTGAAGAGTTCCCAGAATATTTTGGGTTTTAGATGCTGGCATGTCTACTAGTTGGAGACATGCCTCAATAATTAGAAACCTGAACCTAGAGCTCAGAGGAGAGGCAGAAGTTGAGATTGGGTAAATAAAGAAAGCCAAGGAATGGCCGAGGCCACCATGGGAAAATGTACAGCAGGAAAGAAGGGTCAGTATACTAAATATAACCAGTGCAACTGGAAGAAGTCAATAGGTTCCCACAGCCAGAGTGAGCATCCGAACATAACATGGGTCTCTTGGGGCTTTCTTTATCCCATGAGTCCTAACCATGTCCTACTAACTAGATCAAGGCTCCCTATCACAGGATTTCATAACAGCCTACATTTTTCCTTTGTGGCCCTTACTTTAATTGTATTTAGGTAATTTTTCAGTGAAATAATGGGTTCATTGCCTTTTCTCCTAGATTTTATGATCCTTGAGGGCAGGGGATGTCTCTTTTGTGTCCACAACCACATACCCAGTACCTAAGCAGCACAGTATCTTGCACCTTTCAATAATCTGATGAATAAAACAATAAGTAAAATCAACTCAATGGTTATGAGCCTAGTATGCTGCTACTCATAGTATGGCCCAGCAGCAGCAGCAGCATCACCTGAGAGCTTGTGAGAAATGCCAATTCTCAGCCTGGACCTACTACATTATAACTCACAGGTGCTTTGTCTGCACATAAAAGTTTGAAAAGCACTGGCTCAGTGTAGGCACTTTTGGCAAGTAGGCCAAGAAAGCCTTCCCCTGAATGAGTGGAGGGAGATGGAAGAAATGATTCGACACAGTAGCCTGGTTTCGACCAGGTTCAAAATTATTTGAGAACCAATTAGGATTGTATAATAACTATCTGACTGCCTGTCCCTAAATCAGAGGTTCTCACTTTGGCTGCATTTTAGAGTCACCTGGAGAGCTTTAGAAAATACTAATGCCTGGTTCCCACCTCCCTCCACAGAGATTCTGATTTAATGAGTCTGGAGCTTGTCTGAGCCACAGGGATTTGCAAAGCGCCTCAGGTGATTATAATGAGCACCCAAGGTGGAGAACCACCTCCCCAGATGATCAGCTCCTGCAATCACCAAGGCCTTCCCAAATCACGTTTCTGTTACTACTGAAGAAAAGATTTTTTGTCTCACACACTAGGGTTAACAGATTGATCCTAGAGAGGAGGAGTATTCTCCCTTGCTCCAGTCCTTCCGGATCTCATCCATGACTTACTTATTAGCTGCTTGGCCCTGAATCTCCAGTCTTCTTTGCCTGGACTTCCCATCTCTGCTATCAGGCTACCCGCACTTTCCTCACTCAGCTTAGACATTTTAAGCCTTAGACCTTGTTTGGACCTTTCCTTAGAAGAATTCACATATGACTCGCCCTTTCCCAGTATGGCTTGAGCTCTCGGTTTGAGAAAAGGCAGCCGACTCTCACCTCCTTACAAGAGTTCATCCTAAAATGCCAAACGTTTGCCCGGCTCTGTTATTTAGACAAACTTCTATTGAACTGAGCCCTGTTCATTTTCCCAGGACTGTCTTCCCTTCTTTCTCTTGTCTCTCACCCAAAAAACTACATCATGAAGAACAAAAGCTCCTGTGTCAAAAGACTTATATTTCAATTTAGAATGGTCAATTTCTCACACATCTTAACAAAAGTTAAAACCATGCAGTTCATTCTCTTTATGGCAACGGCTTAGGGAGACCGACCTAACCACAGTGTTCCTTCCAGAAGAAGGGCTTGAAACCTAGGTCAGTTGTTCCCGTGTGGGCTTCAGGGGCTTGTGATGCCTTCCCCTTAGCTGTTATGCAAAATATGGTGAACATATCTATATTTTTCTATCCAGAAACCCATAACTTTCAGGAGATTTTCAAGAGTCTTGAGACACATGAAATGATGCTCAACATTATTAATCAACTGGAAAAATGCAAATCAAAACCACAATGAGTTACCACGTCACCCCATTAGGATAGCTATTATGACAACAACAACAACGACAGAAAACTACAAGTGTTGGGGAGGGTGTGGAGAAATTGTGCATCGCTGATGGGAATGTAAAATGGTGCAGCCACTGTGGAAAACAGTATGGCACTCCCTCAAAAAATTAAACACAGAATTACCATGGGACCCAGCAATTCCACTTCTGGGCATATGCCCAAAAGAATTGGGAATAAGAACTGGAAAAGATGTTTGTACAGGAATGTACACAGCCTCATAATTTAGAAAAGCCAGTAAGTGGAAACAACACAAATATCCACTGACAAATTTTGAAATGTGGTATACATATACCATGCAATATAATTCAGCCTTAAATAGGATTGCCTTCAAACAGAGTTAGGCATCTCCCTCAGTTTCCCAGGGTCCCTTGGACAGAGATTCTGCATATTATGTTGTAATTATTTATTTGTCTGTACTAGAAAATGAGCCCTGGAATACAGAGTCTGTACCTATGCACTACGGGTCCCTAGCACATGGCCTAATCAATAATTATTAAATGAATAATTGAATAAAAGAATGAACGAGCAGATTATTTTTAAATTATATAAAAAACTATACATTAATAAAAAAATACAAAAAACACAATAGCAAAATGGAAACTAGACACAAACAGGCACGTAATAGGAGAGGAAACAAATATGGCCAATATAAAAAGAAAAGCTAGCCAGTTGCAGTGGCTCACACCTGTAATCGCAGCACTTTAGGAGAATGAGGTAGGGGATCACTTGAAATCAGGAGTTGAAGACCAGCCCGGGCAACGAAGAGAGACTTTGAAGAAAGAAGGGAAGGGGAGTGGAGGGGAGGGGAGTGAAGTGGTGGGAGGTGGAGCGGAGGGGAGTAGAGGGGAGTGGAGGGAAGGGGAGAGGGAGGGAAGAAGGAAGGAAGAAGGGAAGGAGGGAGAGAAAAAATTAGCCATGCATGGGAGTGCATGCCTGTAGTCCTAGCTAACTTGGGAGGCTGAGGCAGGAGAATCCTTTAGCCTGGGAGTTCCAGGCTGTAAAGTGCTATTATTGTGCCACTGTGCTCCAGCCTGCGAGACTGCAAGACACTGTCGAAAGAAAGAAAGAAAGAGAGAGAAAGAGCACTAATCACAATCAGTAGTGATTAGGAAAATGTAAGTCAAGTCCACAATGAGATATCACCTCAAATGATTCAATAGGCAAAAATATTGAAGTCTGACAATACTAAGTTGGAGAGATGTTGATCCACAGGATCTTTTACATGCTGCTGGTAGGCATATAAATTAGTGCAACCTTTGAGGAAATGTTTTGATATTATCTCCTTGAATATTTTCACTCCGGCAATGGCATTCCACTCTTAGATATATGCCACAAGAAGTTATTGTTGAAGTACAACAGAAGACATGTACAAAAATATTCACAACATCACGTTCACACAGTGAAATCCTAGGAACAGTCACGATGCCCATAAACAGGACAGCAAATGAATAAACTGTGGTCCATTAACCAACAGAATATTATTCAGCAGTCAAAACAAATGAACTAAAACAATATGCAGCAACGTGACTAAAAGGTAACAATCTATTGTACAGGCAGCCTTCACATCCCTGGGTTCCATATCTGTCAATTCAACCAACCTCCAATCAAAGATATTCTGGAAAGCAACAATATAACAATAAAAAATATATACAAATAAAAAATAGAGTATAACAATGATTTATATAGCATTTCCATTGTATTATGTTTTATAAGTAAACTAGAGATGATTTAAAGGATACAGGAGAATATGCATAGGTTATATGCAGATACAATCGACTTCATGCAAGGGACTTAAGCATTCTTGGGTTTTGTATCTTCAAAGGTCCTGAAACAAATCCCCTGCGGACACTGAAGGACAACTGTAACACTAAGTGAGAAAAGTTAAGTTCCAAAAGATTACATAGAGCAGGATATAGCCATTTTATAAACTGAAAAACAGCTAAATATTTTTAATGATTTACATGAAAACACATAGATGCAAGAAAACTAAATAGAAAGAAAAGCAAAGGAATGGTGAACTCCGAATCCAGGATGATGGTACCCAGGTAGAAGGAAGCAGAAAGATGGGATTGTGGAGGGCACATATAGTTAGATGTCACTTTACTGTTAAGGTCCCAGCTTTTGTATTTGACAGCAGGTTTCTAGATGCTCATTACATTATTATAAACAAATAAGTAAAAGGGAGGCTTTGCATATTCCAATGATACAAGTGTGTCATGAACTAAGGATTATGATCAATTTAATTCTGTAGCTAGAGGGATTTTAGGGAAAAATAAAGAGGGAACATGACTTCTCCAGGTAGATTGTTTCAAAAGTACAGTTCTCTCTATAAAAGAAATTCTGCTTCCAACTTTTTTAGAATGATGATTAAAGAGATTTTTAGAAGGCTATCATCCATATACAGGCAAACCATATACTACAATAGCACCATGAAAGAAAAATGAACGTAAGATCATATAGATTACATTTTTAAAAATATGGAAGAGGGTACTACTCACATTAGAAAGAGTCAAATTCTACATTTTCTAAATAGTATCATGGTTTATTTAAACCCAAATTCCACGTATAAAACTTTAATTTGCCCAAAATATCCAGGGTATTCAATTTAAAAATAATTTTATGGGACAGTCAAATGTAACATGGAAAAG